GGGGGGGGGAGCCAGGGATGGACCGTGCCCGGTCAAGCGAGCCCTGCAGACGATTGTCGGGTCACGAATCTTCTTCTCCGGTCGGAAGCGTGCCTTCACTTCACTCCAGCGGTCGGACCGCGCGGCTGGAGAACGCACGACAATAATTGTTCTTGCCCCAGCAGCCGACCGGAAGTGACTGGGCGCGCCGGATCAGCTCGCGTTTGTATTAGGGGCTCCACCACACTGTGAAAAAAACTCGGAAAAACCCCTGTTCATTACTTTAAAAAATCGGCGTCGTACTACAAAGTTGTAGTTTTAGAACGCTTATTTCCCATCAAGCACCCCGCAACTTACAATAAAATTTTGTAGTTAATCACTGGCAGTTTTAAATTGTTGATGAAATGTTTTTTTTTTCTGTTTTTTTTTCACAGTGCTGCTTGTAGGCGGCGCTACAGAGTGCTGTGTGGGGCCCGCGGGGCAAACAGTGCCGGTAGAGGCGCGCGGAAGCGTCTCCCGCGGCAAAAACGGAGCCCTGCAGCCTACAGCCGCGCCCTATAAACTAAACCAGCGACCGCATCGGCAGCACACCGGCCGACAGGTACCCTCCTCATAGTCTGTACGGAACGAATCGTATCGACGTGCGCGTGCGTACGTGCTCGGGTACGTGCAGGCCGCAGCTGCACCGGCAGCTGCACGGAGGCTGCTTCATCGCCGAGGGGATGATCAATGAGAGAGAGGGGGGAACTGCACTACGGGCGGGATATTATTATATGCTTCTCGAGTAAACGTGAGATTCTCGTTCGAGGTACAAAAACAAAACACAAAAATTTCTTGAAAACTTCGCAAAGTACTCTGTACTCTGTCAACCAGTAATAACTTCTCATCCCCAAGAAATCAAGATATAATTACAGCAATTATTTAATGTCACCCTCTTGAGAATCATATAGAGGATCCTGACTCCAACATTTTCAGTGCCCCTTCTTTTAACATTGTTTTTTTTTTACCGGGATATCCTGCGCCGAAAAATCGAATAATAAATTACAGTGTTTGAAATCAGCAGCGGGGGTGCCCCCGTCGTTAAACTATCGGAGCAAGCAGCCTACACCGCGGTGCGGTGGGTCCATCTAATGAGCCCGGCTGATCACCCCTCGGAGCTCGCGTGAGTGGCAGCGGCAGCGCCCTTTCCTCGCGCCCAGCGTCACGGACTATGGCGTTAATGGGGCTCTGACGACGGTCCCGACCTAGCCTAACCCGGCCCCCGTGCCCCGGGCGGTGGCGGGCAACTCTCAACTCTCGCGGCCGCTCCGCTTCCCCCGGGAGACGCCCTGGCGATGATCAAGCGGGCTCGCCTAGATTCGGGCCGCACCGCACCGGGCCGGGAGATTGCGCGGCGGCGGGCGCGACGGTTTGCTCTGCCGCACCATCGCGTAATATCGTCGAGTCGAGCCGAGTCGAGCCGGTCATCCCGCGTGCATCTGGAGCGCGAGGGATGAGAAATGGCTGCGTCAGCGCGTCCCGCGGCCGCACTAGCCGGACGCGATGACAGGGCGGTGCCCGGTAATTTCTCATATTATCTGCCCGTCACGGGGGCGCGCGGCGCCCAGAGCAGCAGCAGGAGCTGGAGGCGCCGCCGAGGGCCGGGCGGGCGGGCGGGCGCCTTTGTGGTGCACTTCCCCGTCGTGGTCCCGCCGCCGGTGGCGCGACGCGTGCCGTCAGCCAGGTGGCGCGGGGAGGGAGGGGGGGTATGGGCGCTGGTGAGCTGCAGCACACGAGCAGCCTCGCGGAGTGACCCTTCCGTACGGCGGGGTCATGAGGGAGGGAGGAAGAGGAGGGAAAGGGGGGGGGGGGGTCTGAAAGGGACATGTCATGCCTGCCGCTGCCAGCGCGGGGCGCCCGGCCTCCAGTCCCTCCAGCCCAGGAGGAAGGAACCGTGCGATACTCTAAGGGGTCGCGACCCCCGTAGCCCCTGACGGTACCATCATGGTACAGAACACCACCGAGGAATAGTTGTTCAAATTCAGAGTGACCGAAGCGAAGTGGAGAGCTTGAGGGCCATAACGTGACCCCTCGAGACGCTGCTGGTCCGGTCACTCCGCGTCACCACCACCACCCACCCGGCTCCAGGCAGCGACCTTGGCGGAGGGCGTCTTGGCGCTCCTGAGGGCGGCCATGTCCCCCGCGAGCAGAGAAAGTCGTAAAACCCGGATGGAGGCCAAGCACCGCGTCCCCTCCTTACTAGACTTCGTCGCGGCGCACATTCGAAAAGTGTCAAGAAGTCCGCGCACTTTCCGCCGTTCTTCAGATACGAAAAAGTGTTAGTTTGGTGTGGTTATTTTTGTTTTGTTTTGTGACCTTTTAGTTTCCGCCCCTCGGGCCGGATTAGGTCAGCCACCTGCAGTTCTGCTTATGCGAGTCGCAGTTTTAGGTCGGTTAGGTAAGGTGAGGCGCCGCCGCCGCACAGCGCAGGGCCCCGCCTCGGGAAGGGAAATGGATGGGCCGATGGGCTTCAATCGGCGAGGCGTGTGGCGGGGCGCGCCCGGGCGGGCCTGGGCGGGACCAGAGCCATGAATATGGTAATGCCATGGTAATGCCTGGAAGTATGCGATAACTAGAGGGGAAGGGGAGAGACCCGCGGGGTGGCGCGCCGGGAGCCCGCTGCTGCGCCGCCGGCCAAGGGGGGAGGAGAGGTCACTGCACTGCACGCCAGGCACCGCGGGGGAAGTTTACACTCGCGTCGGTACTGGTGGTTGGTGGTGGTGGTGGTGGTGGTGGTCGTCGTCGTGGTTGGTAGGTGAGTGGTGGTGGTGGTTCCTGATCTCCTTTCTGCAGTGGGGGCCGTTCCGCTAAAGATTCGAGTAAAACTGACGGTAGGGCAAAAAAACAAAAAATCCTGGTTGCAGTTACCAGGATCTTGGTGGCATAGCCACTAGACAGATAGTCTCTAGTAAAATGGGAACCAACGAGGAATGTTGTAAAAGGCGGTAAAATGTACCAGAAAGTATTTAGTAAACCTGACCCTGACCCTAGTACAATTTACTAGTCTGTCTAGTTGCAGTTTATAAATTAAATTCATCAGATAACCGAATCATTTTCACCTTAGAACAAATAAGATAGAACTCGTAATACACGTATTTGCCATTACTGGTGCTAAGGCAACCGGTAGTTAAAATATACAACACTTTCCTTTCAAAATTGTATTTACTATTAATTGAAAAAATGGGCTAGTTTCATTACACATAGAGAAGTAATACAATCATAAAAGATCCTTCAAAGATCTTTAAGTGCAAAATTAAAGACAATGTGAAGAGAAACATCTGTAAATATAAGACGATATTTTGACAAAAATAATGAACAAATAACAAACAAACATAGAAATCAATGGGTCGCTTACAGCACTGACTTTACTCAAATGTTGCTACGCGAGTATATTCTGCTGCTCCTGCAAATCTGTCGCATTGACAACACGCCCAGCATGGAGTCGTTATTTGTCCGTTGCAGTACTTGGGCAAGTTCAAGACGACTAGTTTAAGCAAGGGGTTGGCCGTCAAGAGCTGCCGGACCGCGCTCTTCCCGACGAGGTTGTTCAGGCACCGAATGCGATCTTGGTCCTCCTTCCACATTGATAAGACGAGGGTCCGCAGGTCCGGGAACAAGCACGGCGTGATGCTGGACAACACCTCTTGCCACGCTCGCCACCGCAACTCCAGTCGCCGAAGCGCTCGGGGTGCTCGCAGCGCCCGCAGCAGCCGGCCTGAAGCAAGCGCCCTTCTTGACAGTAGCGAGAGGGTGAACGACTCAACAGATGGCCCCACGGCCAGCACCAGGTCGGCGCAGAGGGAGTGCCCCGACTCGAGCTCGAGCGAAAGTGTGACCTCCCGCACCGTCTTTGCGCGGCGGAGCAGCTCGGCGGCGTCCCGGACTGCGCCGTCACTGTCACGATCCGCCACCTCGAGCACCAGGGCCATCAAGGAGGTGCTCGCGGCCACGGCCTGCATCCCGGGCATCGGGTAGCAGGTCAGCTTCCTGAGCTTGGGCATGGCGGCCAGCAGAGTGAAAGACGGCGGGGTGGGCGCGGCGGACGTCACGTCCTGGCGACTGCGACTCACGCTCACCTCCTCCAGGGTGGAGGCGTGTCCGGCCACGACGAAGTCGACGAGGGCTCTGACGTGCCCGCCATAAGCATGGCAGCGGAAACACTTCAGGGATGGTCTCAAGTCGCTGGGCAGTCGTGGCGCATCGCGAACGTAGACGGGCGCGTTGTAGCCTGCTGGTCTGGCGTCCAGGTACAGGTGCTCCAGTCCAGGCGTCAGCAAAATACGCCACACCTTTTGGGAAGAGCAGAACACGTCGACGTCGAGGAGCCTGAGGGTGACCAGCCGACCGAGCGCCGCCTGGTTGCGGACGACCTTCCTGGCGGTGGCCGCGTCCGACGACGACGACGAGAGAAAGCTGAAGCATAACACTCTCACGGCACACCTGGTCGTGCGGAACAGGAGGCGGGACAGTTCGGACGACACAAAGCGCGACCCGTAGATGTGAAGAGACTCCAGGCAGGGAGCCAGGCGCAGCACCGCGGCCGCGTATTCGTCGTAAGAGTCGAGCTCTCGGAGGCGCCACACGTCGGAGCACTGCGATGCTGCGGCGAGCCTCTTGCAGACGAGGCGACACGACATGACGTCCGGGACAGCCAGGCGCTGCATCACCTCCGCCAGAACGTCGTCCGGTAGCTCCAGTAGATGCATCTGCGTGGACAACAAAACAAGGCTGGTGACTTTTACAAAATCCCAAAAAGTGCTGTCCGGCCTAATTCTCTCCGCCCAGAGCGTGGGAGGACGGCGGATCGAATTCCCGTCGATCTGAAATTTTTCTCAGGCCACCAAACTTTAAATGGACTTCAAATCCGTCATTTCACCACGTCTCCCTTGTGGAGTTCCGGTGGCGGAGTGGTGGCACCGCGTCGAATGTGGCTAAAGACTCGGCACTGGGCCGGGGTTCGACTCACGGCGAAAGCGGGCCGTGAGAGTTCCCCGGTGCCTGGTGCCGTGGTGTGGTAGCGGGTGTATCAACAGTGACGCCTGGCGTAGCATAGGCTCTTATGGGCGGCTACAGCAAACCCAGGCTTCGCCTTTGGCTGGCCGAACTATTGCTGCACCGGCTACCCCACCCCCCACCTTTTCTTTGACTTTATAAGCTTCTTGGGGAGTCCCTTCGCAGCTCGCTCGAGGCCATAGTATGGTTTCTAAGTCGAGACGAACTTAATCTCTTCCATACACTTGCATTTGATAAAAGGAGGAACGATTGAAGGGGGTTTTGACATCGAAAATTGCTTATATACGGTAAAGAACAGCATTTTTTTAAAGATACATGTGTTGCCGAGCGCTGGCGACAGCGTTCTGCATAGAGACACGCCACACGACACTATCACCGATCCCCATCATTTTGGATATGGATATTCTCATCAATCTGGCTCACCTTTTTCCTTTTAAGTTGTGGAGGTGTAAACTTAACCGCCTTGAGTTCGTAGTAGCTCCGCAGAAAAGCAGCGACAGCGCTGACGTCGGCGGTTTGAGCACGTTTGAGTCGCCTTCTCGTTGTTGTTGCTGTCGTCTGCAGTCGGCAGTTGGCTTGGCTTGGCAGTTCTGCAGTTGGCTGCCTGTCTGTTGTCTGTCTTTCGTCCGCTGTGGTGGTGTAAACATCACATTTCGCGTCACTTGTAGTCTCGTTGGATTCGTGGAAATTCAAGATTTCTTGACGATTGCGTAACAAGCGATCATATCGTGTGCCATTGTAAGCAGCTAGCCCTTCCTTTGACATTTCGTTGCACCAACTCATGAACATAACCTAACATTTGGTCCTCTCCACCAGGCTGCAGCGAGGAGTTGTTGGAGTTGGCATTTCCCAAGAGAGAACCGTCACGTGTCCTTGTGGTTATTGCGGATAACAATTAAGGTCAGTATGTTCGTTGGCGGTAGAAATAGTGACTAGTAGGATTTGGACGTGCCCTAAATACCTGAATTACTTTCTACTGTACTCGCTTATGATATGTTGATCCCCGACATCAGAATATGTCAAAAATATTTATTGACTCACAAAGCAGCGCTTCTGCTGATATTTTTAATACCATGCACTATGATTTCTTGGTCATTTAAGTTGTTCACTTTTGGTTTTCAATACAAGACCACTTTGGTTTACTGACAATTACGTAGATGACCACACGCAATCATGCCGTTCCGATAACCCTTCTCTGTATCTTTGTCAGCTTTGTATTTGTTAAGAAAAGGAAAAACGATTGGACACAGATGTAGTTCATTCATAACATTGTAGGAGACATCACATTTACATTTTACAATTTCCCAAAGGTTTATCTAAGGGATTCCTACGCTTGAAAATTTGTTAGCAAACATGTTTAAGAGAACACGTAACTTCAAAAACCTACATTAAAATTTGGAAAAACTGTTCTGAATGCAGTTTAGTTTGAAAAACCTAAGGAACCATTTGGTACAAACAAGTAAATATATGCAAAAATTAGATATTCAGACAGGTGATGAGGTTTGCTCTACTGCTACAGCACCCGTACGACACATATGCTGACTCGACTAACTGACCAGACTCTGACCAACCGTAGGTTGAGCATTGTCGTGATCACATTCATAGACTTTGAGCGAATGCCTTAAACTAAGTTTTAAATACTGTGCCGGCCGGCGACTAGTAGAAGAGGAGGGCCTCGGAGTAGAGGCGTGGGTGGCGTACCCGTTTACTCCCGCGCTCCTCGGCGGAGGTCAGTCAGGTCGGCGTCGCGGTCTCACCGCTGCCACCGTCGCGAGGACGCCGACGACGCCACGGGGCGCGGCGGCGCCGGCGGCCGCATCTCGGGCGGCGCGTCGTTGGACCTGCGCTGGTTGGCCGTCG